CAGCCGCTGACTTCTAACTGACAGCTGCACGTTAAACCTAACTTGATATATCTAAACCTGATATTGTATTGAAGTACATTTAGGTCTGACACTGTCCCATAATACAGGATATCACTTTAATTTTTGGCCACATCAAAGTAAAATTAATGATATTGATTGAATATTCTCTCTAATAAATACCAGTAGAATAATGAATTTTTTAACTGTGATCGATCAGCTGCAGTACCAGCAGAGTAAATGGACTTGAGCGCAAATAAGGGCAAAACATATTTATGTGATTTCTACATCGCCAACTAAATACATATCTGTTTCCCATGGCAACATGATATATATAGTGTGCAATACTCAGCACATTTGCAGATAAAACACATTCCCTCAGCTGAGAATCTGTATCGCTCATAGAGAATCGTAAGGAAACAATTTGTTTAAAGACGTTCCATCCATCCATCCATCCATCCATCCATCCATCCATCCATCCATCCATCCATCCATCCATCTTCTCCCACTTATCCGGAGTCGGGTCGCGGAGGCAGCAGCCTTAGCAAAGCCGCCTAGACTTCCCAATCCACACACACCTCCCCCAGCTCTTCCGGGGGGACCCCTAGGCGTTCCCAGGCCAGCTGGGAGACATAGTCCCTCCAGTGTGTCCTGGGTCTTCCCCGAGGTCTCCTCCCGGTGGGACGCGCCCAGAACACCTCCCCAGGGAGGCGTCCAGGAGGCATCCAGAAAAGATGCCCGAGCCACCCAGAAAAGATGCCCGAGCCACCTCAGCTGGCTCCTTTCGATGTGGAGGAGCAGCGACTCTACTCTGAGCTCCTCCCGCGTGACTGAGCTCCTCACCCTATCTCTAAGGGAGCGCCCAGCCACCCTGGGGAGGAAACTCATTTCGGCCACTTGTATCCGCGATCTCGTTCTTTCGGTCATAGGGAGACGTTCATCCCAGCCAATTTAAATCTGAAACTCTAAACAAAACCTGCTCCCGACCAGGTTAGCTCCACAGCATCAGTTACCATGGAAATCTAGTAGGTAAAAAGAGAGCCACCTTCGTGACACTGAAAACTCTAACTTCAGGCATACCTCGCTAACCCACTAATCTCGCTTTGTAGTTCAGCTCTGAGACGAGCTCCGCAGCATAAATCACAATGGTTATTTAGCCAGATTAAAAGAAAGTCACCTTTGAAAATTCTGACCTAAGCTTAACATACGTTGCTAACGCACTAGTCTCGGTGTGTAACAGCTGATTGACTGTTACATGTCACGAGTAACAGCCAATCAACATTGAGAGCTATTCACAAAAAAAAACAAAAAAAAACAGTGCACTTCCTGAGCAGAGGGGTTCTGGTGAATTAGCGGAGCTGTGTTTGGAAGGTAAGGTAGGAAATACTGCTGAAGGTTTAATACACACCTCTGTCTTCCACAAGCATTCCAAGTGTGCCCATTACACAGAAATAAAATTCAGTATTTCAGTAATTGTAACCCTAGTAAGTGGGAGTGGGAGTAGGTAGGTGCGATCAAATCATGTGGTGTTACCAACTGAAAAAGTTGTTCACACCAGTGCTACCAGGAGAAAAAAAAAAAGATAGTCTGGAACCAGGTGTAACATGGGAGGCAACCAAGCAGCAGCACAAACAGTAAACAACTGGAGATTTGTCGAGACGGATTACAAGTAGGGCCCGGCTCATTTTTGAGCCCATGTAGTATGATGTATTGACACATTAGTGTGCTCCTAGCTCTGTGTACTCCTGGTTAATGTCATTTAAAAGTGACCATTTAAACATGTAGACTAAATAAAGAACAGGTAGGTAACTCACACCACAGTTCATAGTAGTAGCTGCAGCACTGTGTCTCTCCACAGCAGTGACCCGATTCACAGATGTAGCTCTGGTTGTTTACTCCCTGGCACACCAACTTGGCCTGTAAATACACAAACATACTACTTTGTCACAAACACACACAATGCTGAGGACATTTCTAAATCAACATTCACATGATCCAGTTATTAGAAGAACTCCACAACTTTTTTGTTTCCTTTTACCACAATACTTTATTGCATTACAAACATCCATTATCTATATCCATTATCTACACACCGCTTAGTCCTCACTAGGGTCACGGGGAGGCTGGAGTCTATCCCAGCCGTCTGAAGACGGGACAATGCATGATTACAAACATATTAGAAAATAATGGGATGTTTTTGTACGCCTCAGAAAACTACATAACACTTATTACCACGACACTAACAAGACAGTGGACACAAAATATTTTACTTCTTACTTAACCAGAGCATTCTTGCATATATATTCATTACAAACATTAAGTCCTTACTTCAGAATGTCCTTTTAAGCAGAGCTTCTGGAAGCACATGCCAAATGTTGCACAACACTGCTCTATCACTTTGACCTCATTGGAACTATGTAATGCAGGCAGCCACTGCTGTAGATGTGCTGACACATTCATTACACGACCATATATATCTGAGGCATAGTGTAATACTCTGCAAGTGAAGTGTACAGATTGAGGCCCTCTTTGATACATAACACAGCTAATTAACTGTTAGCATTAGATTACAAAGTGTTGTTGTCATTCAGGAGTATTCTCTTTCAGTACTTCCAGACCGACTTGTCCCTGTCCAGGCCTAAAACATCAGCATGGGTTTGACCCAGCTGATCCTAGATGACTGATGAACTTCTTTAGCACCAAGCCTGCTCTTCACTTCTTCCACACTAACTTTACGCCATATTCAGTGACCTGATTAGGAATGTCAGTCATTTCAGCAGAGCATAACTATTCACTATGGTCTATGGTTGTCGGTGGGAGATATCTACAGCCAAGCACGGACAGACAGGATCTTTATTTATTTAAATTCTGTCTGAAATAACGTTAGGATACTAGATTATCTTCAGCACTATCAAACAGAAACCAAAACGTGTGGTAGTGCCCGTCCCTGTTTGGTCTAACTTGTCTGTTGAAGAGGAAAAGTGGCCTACAAAGACACTTTTTAAAATAAACCACAAGCTTGTAGCCACCAGTCAAAATAATGTATATTCACTTGGCGAGTCAAAGCGGAGCGACCAGGTTTTAGCAACCGTAAGCCATTAAAGCGTACTAACGACGTGTTAATTGCCAAATTAAAAAAAAACGTCGACTAATTGTCAAGTTAGCTGTTACCTCGAAGAGTGTGTCCGCAGTCGCAGAACTTTCTTGTCCAACGTTGAGCTTCGGTAATCCCATTGCCGAAGTTATTAGATATTAGTTCTCGTCGACTGAACTCTTATTTAACCGTCGCATCGTAGCTAAACGCTGGTCTCGGTAGTTGACCAAAACAAAACAAGCCTGGTAACTTCAACAATTGTTTTCTTGGATCGCTTCTGGACGCTGCCATTGGTGGATTCACGAGTACAGTCGGTTCTCGGCCAGGGATTGGCTCGTCCCTGTGTCACTCCACACATTGCTTTCGTTGACTTGTGCGTCATCTGTCACCAGGCGGACGCGGCGAGACGGGTGGAGCTTCCTACGGCCCTGATACCAGCACACACACCAAGGGAAACATACACTGAGTATACAGTGTGTCTAAAAGAGTGTAACTACCCACAAAAGAGCTGAGATTGCTGCCATAATCGCTAAAAACAAATACATTTTTCCAAAGTAGCCAGAGCTAAGGGCTGTACTACAAAGCAAGTTTGACATAGCCAGGCTTTCCTGTGTAAGTCAGCTCCACAAAGTCCCAGTCCAGTTTGGCCACTCTCAGTGCAGCCACTTATTTCTAACATGACAGCTGCACATTATAGCTGTTGAACTTTAAACTTAATATATTCAAATAAGATAGTGTATTAAAGTGCATTTTGATCTGACACTGTCCCATAATGCAAGATATCACTTTAAGTTTGTCCAAATCAAAGTGTGTCACGGTGAGTCTGGGAACCCTGGTGCAGACACAGATCATGTCAGAGACCAGTGAGGGCTTCCGTACTTACAAGCAGCCCAGCAGCAGCCTCTAGCTGGTGAACATTTTTGATGACGGGGCACAGTTAGCAAATGACCTTTTCTTTAAAATCAGAAATTAGAATATGAGTAACATCAGGCACAACTATTTACAGGAATGCAAATTGTCTACCATTGGTGGATATTCTCATCATAATCGAATTTAACATTATCCAGACTTACCAGAACTAAATTTCAAAACCGTTCATCAAACTTTCATCAGTATTTACAGGATCTGTACAATCTCATAACACACAACATAAATAATGAAAAAAGAAACACTAGACTCCAGACTAACTTTTTAAACTGGTAGCACTAGACCCACTTTCTTATTTTGTTGCACCTCCCACCTGGTCAGAGGCAAAACATATGACTTGCTGAACATTTTCTTATCGATAGACCCTATTATTTAGAATAGAATAGAATAGAACTTTATTGATCCCTTTGGTGCAAACCTCAGGGAAATTGTTGAAATTTACTGATGCTCCCTGAACATCCCACATAGGGTTGGGAGCATAGCAGGCTGCGCTAGCTGCTGTTTGGTGGCTGTGGTGTGCTCAGACAGGTGCATGACCAAAATGACTTTAAAAATAATAATCTAGGGCGTTCTCATGTCAGATTTGTCCGAGGTTAAACCGCGTTACGTGTATTCTACACGCGGTCTGTTCTGCGAGTAGTCTTTTCTCTATTGACAGCATGGCCAATGCAATAAGTCGTCACAGTAGCTCTCATCTTGTAGAAGAGGCGGGGAAAGGCCCAACTCCAGTGGTAAGAACGTCAAAAGACAGTTTTGATATCCAACCACAGAAGACAAGAGCAAATAAAGACCAAATTAATTGGCTTACAGCAAAAGTGGACGGGTCCGGGGCGCAGCGTGAGAAAGTCTGCAGCTGCCAATCAGAGCCCGGGGCAAGGTCACATGATCATGAAAACTTTTTCGAGCTTCATATACTCAGGTGATCAGTGCCCCGCATCCAGGAAGTGTAAAATGAGTAAACACACAGTAAATACTAATATTATATCTGTTAATAATACAAATATTGTTAATATAGCAAAAATGATATGAACATTGTTATTTATTTTTATTATTATTTTTTGTCATAATTAGTTCAAATTTAATTTTACGTTTGAGAAGTACTTTTTTATCTGGTGGTTAGTAGTTGGGTGGCGCCCCTGCACCCTGTATTAACCAACCGCCACTGCGTACAAAGGTTTATTTAACAAAGAAATTAAACTGAAAACAATATGCAACGGGAGAAATTAAACTGAGGGGAAACCAGAACAGAAGAAACCAGACTGAAAATAAAGAAAAGAAGAAATAAACAAAAACAAACAGGATAACTACAAAAACCAAGGAAAAACTCAAAACTAGCAGAGGGAAAACCTAAGGAAAACTAATATGAATGAACTAATCAAGACTGACAAAACAGGGATACTCATGGGACAAAGACCTAAACTAAAAGGCCAAGCAGGCTCAGGGGATGTAAACAGGAGACAGGTCGGGGGCCTGTAGCAGTGAAGGCTGGCCGCAGGCAGGATCGGAGCAGTGGATGCAGGAGGTTTTGGTGGCAAAACTGTAAGGCTGCAATGATTAGTCGACAATAAAAATTCATCAATGCGAAATTTCAATGTCGACGTGTCACGTTTAAAACGTCCTGTAAGGGCTTTGATAGTAAAACACTGCGGCAGGCATCTTAACACCGACCTTACCAACCATCGCTTTTCAGACACTGTGAGAAGTCCCGACACTACGCAAATGACTGCAACACACCACAAGAAATGCTGGGGGCAGTACTGTCACTATTTGCAGTGTCTGTGTTCTTAACCGACAAACAACAATTCAAGACCAATGGCGGCGTAAGCTGAGCAAGGTCAGAGTGAAGTCAAGGCAAGGCCTCGTGTATTTGTAAAGTTTGGCAATATTTCAAGTTAAATAAAGTGTCAAAACAGGTGAAATGTGCAGTCTGCCACGCAGAGTTGGCATACCACGACAGCACAACAGCCATGAATGAGCATCTGAAACCCAAAGCACCCTGGAGTCATGGCTCCCAGCGTTCCAGATGGGTAAATTAGCATTACTGTATGTATTTTTGTTTACCTTGCGAGAAACAGGCTATGTACTTCAGGATGACATTAATCATTTCGAGGCCATTTCATGAAAATTAATGTGTTAAGTGCAATAGAACGCTGAATTATAGAAGTGTACAGCTTCCCAGTGCTAACATTAACTGTAACCGTTTTTTTAAGACCACAAAGACACACAAAACAAGAAGCCTACTGCTTCGGCAGACGCAATCATTTATTAAGACGACAGCAGCACATGCTAGCATCATTAAAGTGTCGCCCGTCTCAGTCAGTCGGCTTAAAAATGGTTACAGTTAATCCCAAAGTATTTGACTTTTCCCCAAACTTTGCCTACCTAGCCTAGGTTTTAGCTCTGTGGGTTGAGGTATCAGACTAGGCCTATGTACTTTTTGGTAACAAATAATAAATAACATCATTCATTTGTAGCATTGAAACAGTTAAATGGATTATTTCATTTAGTCTGCATGTGCTGTGGTGTGGTAGCCTACATTTTGTGATAACTAATTTAGCCTCATTTTCTGTTTTGATTTTGCCGTTTTAGGAATTCAAAGCAAAGACAGGCTCTTGCACTTTATTTTGTACAATGAAATTTTATTTATTTTGTTTTCTTTTTGAGCCAAATTCCTTATTGTTTGGATGTGACAATACAGCAGAGTTTGAATGTGTTAAAACAGGGAGGTCCAATCCCGGTCCTCGAGGGCTACAGTCCTGCATGTTTCAGATGTTTCCCTCTTCCAACACACCTGATTCAAATGATCAGATGATCAGATCATCAGGCTTCTGCAGAGCTTGATGCCTTCAGTTCATCGTCAGACACACTACACCATTCCTCTCCAGACTTCTGTTAAATAAATCCATCTTCAATCACTACCACTACAATGTTGTGCTTCTGGGTCCACTTTGGTTCACAACAGTTCCCTTCTATTTGAAACAGTTTTTATGGATGCTGGATATTATTTAAGATGCAAATATACTTTTGTTGCAAGTTAAATGCTGTTTTACAAGTCTAGACTAACAGAGACAAGAGGCAAGAGCCTATGTCTATGGACCAGACTTAGGCACACACAATTTGTCTGTCAACATAACCAAGGAAAGGCTATTAACAATTTAAGAAACTTATAGAAAAGAAACAGTAAAAATAGGAAACCTTTACTTTAAAGGTTCATCTCATCTCATCAGCAGCATTATTGTAATGCCCTCCACCTCCAGCTCCAGTTGGTGGCAGCCTACTCTCTTCCCCTCCTTTTCTCTCTTTTCCTTCTCCTTTATGTGGGCCTGTGCGAGGTATGTGAGTGTGCACAGGTGCTGGGGATGAGGTTATTTCCTGAGTGAGGACACCTGCGGCGGGGAAAATCTGCACGCTCTTCTTACCTTCCATAAAAGCCATATTCAGACCACTACACAATGCTGTAGTATTGAACAACCCAGTTAATCAACTCAAGGCCAATTCTGCAGTGTTGCTTTGTGTTTGAACATAATCTAGTCATGGTGAACAAACCTTTTCAAACTTGACAGTTGTATTAAACAATCGTTACCATTTATTCCCACCTTATGTGCCCACTCTGTCTATTTGGTACTTTCATAACCATCATCAACAACACCTTCATTTCCTCCTTCTCTTCAAAACACACTTACAGTAAATCAAACAGTTCATCAAACAAACAATGCAATTATAAAAGTATATTGCATTTTAATAAAATGTTGTTGATTACCCACATCTGATCTTGTCTGTTTTGGAGCTGGAGTACTTGAGATGTAAGACAGCATTCCAATTACTATCAGGCCTTTTGCTACAATGCTAACCCAGAACATGGTTGTTGAAGAAGCCATTTGGTCAGCAATATTCATCTTTTTGGCCCATTTTTTGCTGGTGTCTCATGCATACCACCTAGTAATTTAAAGTGTGCCACTCTGAGTGGCAGCGAGGCCATGTAGCTCCATGGCGGCATGTGTCTGTAAATGTTTTTAAAGTGTTTATTTGTGTTTTTTCTTTACTTTCCATGATGTGCACAGCTGGGAAGAACAGTGTTCACAATGGGGGACCTCCTTGTGTTACAACTGACCAGGCACAGGGTTCAACATCCCATTCTGGCCGAGTTGAAGAAAGCATACTGTGGTCAGAGATCCGGTGCGAAACTAAAGGCTAAGCTACAGGCTAGGAGGTAGAGATACAAGCTTTTTTTTTTTGTGTTTAATTCGCGATCTACATGGGTAACGTCAACTCTTTGACTATCAAGGGCAGAGAGCTAGAGTCAATTGTGAAGATGCAACAGTTGTGACTTGATTGCATTCTCGTGTGTTTTTCCATATTACTGTG